CTAATATTTCAAGTTCAATCGGCGTCGATGTGAGTCGATCTTATTTTATCCCCGTTGATGATGATTTAGAGGTTAAATTTATCATCGGAAACTCCGTAGATGGAATAGACAGTGGTGAAGGACGCAGACTAGATCGGGGGCTAGAAATTGAGATCGAGAAATCGAGAGCCATCGAACATATAGTTTTGAAAAGCATAGTCGTTCACCTCCAGTAGCCTATTTCGCATTCGCGTGCAGTTCCTGAGTTTTGATCAAAAATTTGTAACAAGTATCTGAGACCAAAGAGCCCCATAATTTACGCCAATGGATGTGATTCAACTATGCGATTCAAACCATGTGACGCGTAATACGATTGGTTGTTTTGTTGCCATAGAGAAATGCATATTTTGATTGTAAGCGATTACTAGTTAGTTTGTACGTGTGTTTTGTTTTAGTCAACTTCAATTTAGGAGCGGAACAAACCATTGTCACATTGGTATTCTTAGCGAAGGAGAAGATGCTATAATTGAGGAGGTGAGTGAAACGTTTTCATCGGGTATAAATTCAGAATAACAAGTACAATCTTTTAATGCTTATCCTCAAAAATAACTCAGAATTTTTAAGCCCTGTTCAAACGGTCACGATAGTTGATGATAGTTGAAATAATCATTTGCCGTCATGTTTGCGTTCAAACATCTCATGATAGTTAACAATTGTTCACCGAAGTGGAGGTAAATATCAGGTAATTTAGTGTCAACAACTGAGTTGAAAACGTAAATTGGCCACCGTAAAGAGTTAAAAAGCTGACGTTTCGAGCGTTATCCCATCGTCAGAGCGATTGACGAAGGACTAACGCTCGAAACGTCAGCTTTTTTTACTCTTTACGGTGGCCAATTACGTTTTCAACTCAGTTGTTATCTCTAAATTACCTGCTATACTCTCCCACCGACGCAGCACCACAGTATCTTTAGAAACTTACCCTCTGTATTCATGGGGGTAAATATCCATCATTTTCATCGACACTGAGGTGATTAATTTGTTTCAGTATATATAGTATATCACACAATTACCATAAACTTAGTTTATTTCTTTCAATATACCAAAAATGGTGGGAATTCAATTCTTGTTGTTCAATTTTTCTCATCATCTGTTCGGAGGTGAATGGTACTTGCCATTCAATTCTGAACTAGCCAATCAGCACATGAAAAAAAAAACCATTCACTGAATGTGTGTTATATACTAATTGATTATAGCTGTTGAAATCATACAATGGGATTTTACTGCCGGCTGATACCTAGTATCTTAGTGTGTGAAATTGTAAGCAAAATATCAGCCAAGAAGAGTGCTTATCGCCACAGTTTTAGAGAACATTAATGTAGAACGACTCTTCTAAAGAGTTGCTTGATCACCACAAATGAAGCAGGAAGGAGTGGATATGAAGTCAAGAAGTTGCAAGCAGAAGACAGAAGCCTTTAACCCTTTAACTCCCAGATCAAATTTGTCATTCTCCTCACTGTCAACCATACAATTCTTATAATGTTAGTTCAGATAATTTAGTATTGGATCAACAAATTATTCCCTAATTTATATTTTTCGCTATTCTCATCACTTATCTGGTTGATATTGCATTGATATTGTAAGGAGAAATTCTCTCTTGGTCACTCATGGGAGTTAAAGGGTTAAGGAGATGTTGAAAATGAACTTTGAGACAACCTATAAAATTTTGACAACTATTTTACCCCTCTTATGATTTTCCATTTCAGTTTGAGCCTATTTTTGGCAAGACCACAGACTGAAAAACTAGTTGATTATAGTTTGAGTTCAAATGTGCACCATAGTTAGTTACTATCATTGTCTATCTGTACCATTTCTATAGGGCTTTACAGTAAATCAGTGTATATGTGTTGAACTTGATATATTGACTTCATTTGAAATACATTTTTGTTTCAATGTGTTGGTGTTGACCCCCAAATTTCTTCTGCTTCTGCTGCCCCCAGTTCTGTTTTGCCAGCAGTTAGTAGTCTCATATTTTCAAAGAGCATCAGGTTTATTTTTCTGATGAGAGTGCTATATTCAGGCCTGAAATTATACTTCGGTTCATTTCCCCAGGGACATTGTGAGACAGTTTTGTGAATTCCCTGAGAATGATTTATCATCTGTGAATACTAAGCCCACTGCTCCTCATATTTCCTAACCAAACCCAAAGTGAGTTTAGGAGTATTTCAGCTTTCTCTGGGAACAACATATGCTTTGCGGTGTATCATAAAATGAAAAGGGGATATTTAAAAGTTTGGTTTTGCCATAGTGTCTGGAAGTGCATGCTAGAAATGATGGAAATTGCTTTGCATTGTGTCATACCGAAGAGTGTCATAGCTTATTGTTTTGCAAACCATATTTCCCATTGCTTGATTTTAATCACTGTCAATGGTTTTAGATGTTTTGTTACTCAAAGGAAATACCAAAGAAGAGATAAAAAAACAAAATAATAGAAGATGCAAAAAAAGAAAAAAAAAAAAGAAGTGAAGAATGTCATAAAAGCCACTTTGCAGCATTCATTTTAACTTTGTCAGTCATGAGTTATGATAGTTGTGTTTTGATGCTAGTTTTGCCAAAGAGACCTCCTATTGATTAGCAAGGATAGTGGAGGGCATATTTATTTACTTAGTAACACTTCAAACCTGCCCCCATGCTGACACACCCCCATTTTTTCCAAAAATATTTCTTCCCAGTAAGGGTTTGACTTACATTGGAAAACATGAAAATTTTGTGAAAAGATTTAGAATTTACTTTTCTCCTTTCAAATTTTCAGGAATGTGGCTGACATCTGGAGGATCAATTTTGTATTACTTCATAATAATTATTCATAATAATTACTGACATTTTGATGAAAAATCTTTTTTTCCTTAAATATGATAACAAATTTATGCTAATTTTTCTGAAATTCTTATTTTAATACACTTTAATGTAAGATAATGTAGGGCCTTATTGCTATAAATACATGTTGAGGTAAAAAAATGAAAACACAGTGTGGTCAATTTCATGCATTTTTGGGGGCCATAGATGAGTTAAAGTTTGCAAGATCAGTACTAATATATATGACCTAAATGTAAATGAGTGAGCCATTGTTTTATATATGTTAGTGCATCTAGTTCAATCTGTTTCCTAAGGACTGTGAAAGGTGTTCACTGTAGTTTAGGGTAAAACTTTGGAGTCAAGGGAAAGATCATTTTCCTTGATGAAAATTGAATTAGTTGGTAGTGACAAAACTAATCAGTGATCGGTACAGCATTCTGTGCCACACAGCTTTGGTCCCATAACATCTACTTTGTCAGTTTTTCTAAGTTATTGCATAATCTGGTGACTGACATAATATGATATGTCTCTGTGTAGAACAGCCCACACATTACTCAAAGTTCTGTTAATAGACAGACATCTTCTGATTGGACACGGCACTACTGGATGTACTGAAAGAATGATACATAAGGGAACTTATAAGAAACAATAAGCACATTTAGAGGTGCTCAAAAAAGCCATAAAGTTACATATATTGTTAAGTTCTATCAAAAAGGCACTAGATAGAGCTGTTTAGAGGATTCCATGCACAATCAAAATCCCTTGGGAAGATAACTCTTCTACCAAAAGGGAACTAGTAGTAATAATAATGATAATAATAATGAGACTTTGATGATGTTCTTTTTGGGTCTGAGAGTCTGTGTCACCTCAATATAAAAACCTGATCAAAGAAAATGGGTGGTGCTTGTGTTCTTTAGAGGGTAATTCTTTGAAATAAGACCTTCATAATGAGGACTCCCGAAGAGTCCCTTTACTTTGGTTCGGAGAACACACACCTTAATTCCTCTCAAAAAGGGAGAAAACAAAAGACTGGAAAAAATTTTTTTAGCCATAAAGCACCTTAGGAGGTGCTCTAAAAAAGTCATAAAGATAGTTACATTAAGAATTAATGTAAAGAATACAGTTTTTAACAAAGTACACTCTGCAATTCTTAGTATCACTCAGGCACTGTGTGTATCTGAATACACACAGTGTGTGTACTTTATGAAGAATTTGAGTGTGTAAACCATTAAAAGATTATTTTTTCGTTAATCTAAGTATCTTAATGGTTTTCTTGGGCACTTCTTCATGTGCCTCAGGACACAAAAAAACTTTTTTCCAGGTTCTGTGTTTTTACCTTCTTGTGAGGACTCAAGATGTGTGTTATACAAACCGACTTATGAGGACCATTCAAAAGTCCTCACTATGATGGTCTTTTCTCTTATTACAACGTATTTATGAGGACTTTTTTGTGGGGACTTGAAAATGTCCCCACAATTTGAACAGACCCCACTTTGCTGGTGTGTATACATATGAATGTCCCCATAGGTGTGCAAAGGTGCACGCACACACACCTTACCTTAGCTAGTAGATTAGATATTGGACGGTGTACAGAAGACTCTCTTAGTACACAGGAAAGGATCAACCCGTGCATTTCCTCCTCATCATCCGCTTATCCCAGTGGATTATCAGGTCGGCTATTCACTGTTTACTACTCCTTTCGATCGCAAGGTTTAAGGTTTATTTTATTTTACTTTTTTAAGTTAGAAATCGTTGTTTGAGTGCTTACAGTCGTTCGCTCCAAGGTTATTTTACAGGTCCAACACTTTTCGTGTTGGGCTATTTCTTTCCCAGTTTCAATCGCATTCTTTGTTACGTTCATTCTCCCTTCACTCCGTTTCCCTTCAATCGCTCGATGATTGGAACCCGCAGAGCACCATAATTCCTTTTGAGGGCAAACACCTATCTTGTTTTACTTTTACCTTCTTTTGTCTTCGGCTTCATTTATTCGCTTCTTCCTTGGCTCCTTTTTCTCGACTGAGGGCACGTGTACGTGGGCACTCTAAATTAATGAAAACTTTCTTTGCTCTTGCTGAGATACATGTACTCATCGTCTTGTCCATTATTTAATCAGTTGACTGGTCAACCTGTACTGATTGGAGGAACCATGGGCACGTGTAGGTAAGGTAAAGTGTAGGTGTAGGTAGGTAGTGTAGGTGTAGGTAAGTTAAAAAGTAGTCTCGGGGAAGTAACGTTCAAGGGTATTGTTATTATTGTAGGTATTTGCAATTATTGTTGGTGTTTTCGATCCCTATACATATAGCCTTATGAAAAACACTCTTTCACGAGGGATGAGACTATTGGTTATCTTGAGCAGACATGGAGACCCAAATTGTTCCATGTTTTGTTTGGTTTTCAGTTATGTTTTGACAGGAACGGAAAAGGGAATGAACCAGACGTTTGGTACCACGTGTCACGGAGCGGTAAGTTCATATATTATACGCAATATTGTTTCTTGATTTGAAAGCATGATGACATAAAAAATGCAAAATGACCACAGCATTTCCTGGTTTCAAACCTTGGGTTGGATAAGGTTTGAAACGTGTAAGCAAATACGTTTGTTTGTTATGAATTTTTCTTTCCCATTTTCCCAGAAAGTATTTTGAAATGGATATTTTTATATATATATTATCTATCTATCCATTTTTCTTCAGGGAAGGGCATTATCAAAATCAAAGTCACGGTGTGTGTTAGTAGTACTAAGAATAAAGTCATCAGCTGGTCCATCTTGACCTAGTCATAAACATAGTTCCATTCATGCAGTTTTAATTGTCCTTTCCATTCTCTTTCAGCCGAAATATTGACTATCAAGAAGTTCTCAATGGTCTTAAATCCAAAGGAATCTCAATAAGAGTGGCTTCCCCAAAACTGGTTATGGAAGAGGTAACGAATCAGTAAATGGCCGCCTTTTTTTTTTAAATTCATTTTCATGCTGTAGCTTCCATGGCACTGCATCAAAAGCTGTTGAAATCTTAAAAAAAGAAAATGTGTGTTAATTGTGTGCATTTTTGTTCTGCTTTTTAACAGGCTCCTGAGTCTTATAAAAACGTCACTGATGTCGTTAACACTCGTAAGTATAAGCATCTCTTGTTGTTCGATGTTACTTGCTTTTCGAGCCATTGTTGCAGGTTTGTGTTGTGTTGTCAACGGTTTACAAAGAAAACAATCCCTCAAGATACATTTTAACTCCAAGAACTTCCGAGACAATGAGATTCTAACCTAAAGACGACAGCTCGTTGACGATGCAGGATTCCCTACCTTAGACACGAACTCGTTCTTCTGCTTATAAGGTGTCCTATCCGGCTGAGATAACTAAGAGTCGTTAGAGTCAGTTTCTTTTCCCTTCAAAGCAAATCATGTTTTTCCTTTCTGCAATCGGTTCACCTATCTTCAACGTCAAACACTGAAGTGCCTCCGTAATCAAGTTTTCACCTCTTTGAACTTGAGAAGCATAATAGAGAATTCCCCTGTGAAATGTTTGCATTAGTTCCGGAGAAAGTTAAATTTGGAAAAAATCATGAAATATTCTGATCACGAAACTGATGATGTCGTTTACTCGATCCAGGTTAACATCAGGATTGTGTAAACACCCATCTCTGTCAAAGTGTGGTTACTTGTCATATTGGTGTCCGTAATGTTTAACATAGACTGACAACACCGGAATCGATGATCTGATACTATACGCAGATTAAGTGCGGTGACTGTACATGTTGGTGTCTGCAATGCTTGACATAGCCTGGCATTTATAAGTATGAAAAAAGAACTATTTAAAATATGTTTTTGGATTTTAATGTCCCTTATCAGATTGCAAGAAAGTAAGCAAGATTTGATTGGTTCATCTTTGCTAAACAAGCTGGTTCAAGTTAGAATCGATAATAAGTCGATACTAGCACTAAAGATTGATGTTTTGCGGTAGCGATTTGTACTTATCACAAACGATTGGTGGCAGCACTGACGATTGGCATCGTTACAATTTCTGTATTTTACAAATAACACAAGCCATACTCGTTTAACACTATCGACTGACATTAAAACCTATAATTGATATTAAGCGCTATCGATCTGTCTCAGAACACCAGCGATTTACAACTGGCGCTTTTAATTGGAGTCTTACAACGGCGATTGGTGGAACAACACAAGCGATTGAGGCTTAGGGCTAATGATTGAACATTTTTTAGAGCGGAGACTAAATTGATTTTAAAACACGATTTGTTGATAGCTCTAACGATTGAGTTTCATCACTAACGAGTGATAATTTTGGCACAAATGGCTCCCCATACTTTCCATGTTGGTATTTGTAATGCTTCACAGAGACTGACAACACCGGCATCGGTGATCTGATTACCACGCAGATTAAGTGCGGTGACTTTACATGTTGGTGTCTGTAATGCTTGACATAGACTAGCAACACCGGCATCGGTGATCTGATTACCAACCAGATCAAGTTCGGTGACTTTACATGTTGGTGCCTGTAATGCTTGACAAAGACTGACAACACCGGCATCGGTGATCTGATTATGACCCAGATGAAGTTCGGTGACTTTACATGTTGGTGCCTGTAATTCTTGACATAGACTGGCAATACCGGCATCGGTAACCTCCCCACCACTCAGTTCAAGCGTGGTGATTCTATTCCATTCAGATTCCTCCTCTGCATTGAGCGCACCAAAAACATTTAATGTAAAAGACACAACAGGGCAGTCCACATACGCCATCCCGACGCGAGAAAGATCAAAACGTCCATTACGTATGCAGAATATGTCGTGAAATCTCCTTACTATTCCCTTAGCAAACTCGATGTCTTCGTATTGTAGGAGACATTTAGAAATTAAAAGCCCCCTTGTGCATTCATCTGCTGATAGGTCGTCGCTGAGAAATTTGTTGATAATCAACTTTTCCACAAATTCGTTGTCTTTTTGCTTGGACAAAATACCCGACATAAATAGAACTACTTCTGTAGACACATGTCTGGGGGGGATTGTTCTTGTCTTTACAAAGCAACGAGCCGCTAAGTACTCTTGGACAGTCAAGTGTGTAAAAAAAAAATGTTTAGTCGTCGTAGAAAAAGATTTTCTGAAAGGAGGACCGCAATGAAGAAGACCGCTTCCACACAGCCTTTCAAACTCGTGTAAGTCAAGAGTTTTCAAATCCTCTTTAAGGAAAAGAAACCTCCTCTCCAGAAGAAGTTGAGCAGCCAGCTCTGATAATTCATCCAGAGTCTCTTCGAGAGAGGCTCTTTTCTTTTTATCGTGCTTTTGCACGAACATGTTGACCACTTCATCATAAAGGTCACTTGTTTTCACCGGGAGAGGATTATTCTTCTTTGATTGCTGTAGAGTATATTCAAAGTAGGAGCACATAAGAAAACAGAGCACAGGAATGTGGGCAAAGCTGATAAGATTGACATTCTTTGTAATGTGGTCAATTACAATATTTTTCATTCGGTCGTTGTTTTTAAAATACTTTGCAATGTATTCTTTTACTTGTGGCTCGGAAAATCCTGTAATTTCAACGTATCTATCAAAATAGATGTCTTTGGCTTTTATTTTGTCAGATTCATCGGGTCTTGACGTGATCATGACGACTGAACCTCTCAGTATTTTTCCTTTGATAAGCTTGGCACACAGTGCTGCTACTGGCATTTTCTTTTTGGCGTTATTTGGGTACTTTTCATCTGAATCACTAGCAATGTACTCTTGTTGTGAACACTCGTCATACCCGTCGATTATAATCAAAACTTCTTCGGAATGATGAACAATGTACTCAAATATAGAGTCGTCGATGTTTGAGTGGTCGTCTAGCACTGAGGATCGGTTTAGGATATCCTCCAAGGTAACAGGGTCGTCCCCAAGTAGATTAAGCTGACGGAACGTAAGTAAGTATGCGAACTTAAAATCAGGTACTTCTGCATTTGCTCCGGATCGAAACAATTTGTTGTCAGCCCAATCTCTGATCACCTTTTGACAAAACAGTGTTTTACCAATGCCTGCCTTTCCAGTGACAAGAACAGATTCAGGATGTTTTCCGTCAGTTGGGATGAAAATTTCTTGAGAGCTTTTAATTTGCTTTCCACCAATTTGACCATACTGGCGAAGGCGTTCTTTTCTTTTCACATCAAGATCCTCGACTGGTTTTCTTCCATGTTGCATGAGGATGTTGGTGAATATGTGATCTGTTCTCACATTGGACATGGCCGGTGAGGCATTAGCGAGGTACTCGGTTTGGCTTCTTATTGATTCTTTTAACGCATCGGAGTATTCTGCTACAGCTGAAAAGAAAACCGTTACCTCCATTTATTTTCATAAACATTTCATGTACTAACTTTTTCAATGCTCGACGAAGAGTCATTGAAACGCGATTGTTTCATTGACTATCACACTCGCTGAGTTTTGCTTTAATTAGGCTTTCCAAAGGTGCAAGTTAATCTCGAATCCGTTCGCAATTAATTGACACCAAATTCCGACAGACCAATTGAAAAAGCGTAGCAAGGGGTTGGTGTGAAGGTTAAATTATTTCATTCTTAATAATATGCCTGCAAACATTTCAGAACGCTCATTAGATGAGAACACGTTAATTAATCCCAAACAGCGCAGAAAGTTGAGATTTAGAGCAGAAAGTTGGAATTGATTGTAGACAGATGAAACAGTTTGATTGCTAGGAGAGTCACAAAAGCGTAACAAAATAAAATAGCGGAGAGGTTAGGGGAAGGTAACAATCTTTTTAATCCAGAGTTTGATGAAGAATGCAAAAAATAAAATACAAAACAAAGCACAAACAACTGGCCAAAAGTCTAGAAGGTTTGTGCATTGAAAAATATGAATCGGAGACCCTTAACAAACATCTTGTGGAATTTCACGCAATAGTTTGTAAGAAAGACGAGGAAGATTCCGGAATTCCGGAATCCAGCACTCACAGCGTGGAATCCAGAATCTAATACTGTTCTGGATTACCTTACATGAGGCGTGGGATATCTTTCTTGTACTGATTATTCCCGACTACTCCAGCACAAGGTAAAGGCAAGCGGCCGAACCAGCGAGCCATGACACGGAAAAAAAAGGAAAGAAAGAAACAACTAAATAAAATAAATATCGTGCAATTCTGGATAAAGCAGCACTTGTAAATTTTATTTAAATACTAAAAATTGCTCTCGCCCGACAGGCTCGCGCAATTTGTTCGCTTTTGAAAAATTTGCTGGCGCTGTTTCATCCTAAATTTTACTCTAAATCATGTGATTACCAGCACTAACCGACCCATTTCGGTTGCGGTTCCAGGAATTTGTGGTACGGGAGGAACTAACTTTGACTTAGAAAACTTTTTGTGTGTGTGTTTACGCCAGAGGCCTTAGTACACTTAGTGGAGAGAATGCGTCCTGTCGTCTCCAGTTCATCAAGAATTTTAGCTTTTTCCCATTTCTTTCTTTCGACGAACCCGACCAGGCAAATACTGTAGGACTTACTGCAGTTTTTTTGGTGCAAATAACCTTGGCAGGGAATCTATTTGAACTGTGAGTTCTCTTTACTCCTCGCATGAGGAATAAAAAAATAGATAAATAACTCGCTTATCACCCAAAAAATTCATGGAAAAGCCAACACCTCTGATCAGAGGCCCTTCAATCTTCCTCTTCAAGTTTCCTTTCTCAAGAAAGATCAAAAGGCCGTGCATAGATTTTACCGTCAATACACAATACCTTTGTCTTCTGCTTTCTTTATAGGGTTAACGATTGCTTCCTTTAATTCATCCATGCTTTTACCAAACTGCTCTGTCATTTCATGCAGGCTTTTACCAATTTCATCCAATTTTTCTTTGATGCTGACTTCATCCATGATGCACTGTTTAAGAAGCTCTTTGTAGTGTTCTTCGAAATCAGGGTCCATGCATTCCTTCTTCAGATCATCAATAGCACTTCGATAACCAGTTCCTCCTAGTCTCACCAATGAATCTTGGATGTCCTGCCAGTATTGATTGAATGTTGGGTCATCAACTGAGGAGTTGCTGACATGACCATAAACTGTGTTTCTGTAGCACTTGATACGAACGATATCTGCCTCGAAGGTTGTGTCTGTGGCAGGAGGAAGTGTATCCCAGCCTGTCGCTGGAGGAGCAAGACCACAAATGTTCCTCAGCAAGACCATAAGAAGAGTTATATCGAAATTCTTCGATGAAACTGAGGATCTGACAGCAGGATACAGTTTGCCCCATTGTAGGGGATTTAACACTTTCTTTTTCAGTGATTGTAGCACTGTATGGACTGGAGGACTGGACAAAACTGTGTCTAGGTTACCGGTTGGACGCTTCTTTTCAAATGCTTCTCTCAGGACATCTGATCCGACATCCACCAGAAGCCTGCACAGCCGGGCGTAATTGGTTGTCTCTTTTGACGAATGAAACGAAGGTGCTGCAGCGGTGGCCATGAAGAAATACCGGATCGTTACTAAGAAAAGGTCTATGACTTTTTAACCAAGAAATTTGCTTGCTGCTTTTTCGTCAGTCTCCCAGGTCCAGCACTGAAAGAATGAATAAGATATTCGATTTCAAAACCAATTGACTCACACAAATATTTTCACTTGCAAAAGTGTTCGTTATATCTCAAGGTCACCAAGGGTATTGCATTAAACTGATTTTGAATACCTCTGGAGCACTGATTTCTCTTTTAAAATTGCTTGCAAATGCTTCTCGAATCTGCTTTTGCGTGACTTAAAAAAAAGCGTGACATATGGCCGTTTCACTTAGTGTGAAAATCAAACTGGCCTTTTCTTCAGATCCGAGTAGAACTTCTTCCTTTTAGCCGGCGCACTTTCCATACACGTAAATTAGGGGAATTTAGGGCAGCATTGCAGGGTTTTTGGCTGATAGCTTCCTAATTTCAATCACCAGCGTGTTTTACAATGTATTCAAATATTGAAATAAAGTAAAGAGAAGATAAAGGTTGATCGCATCTGGGAAAAAAGAATTTCTTCGGATTCGGAATTCCACCAAAACAATCCGTATGATCATACTCCTTTACACTTCTCTTTTGTTTAACCTGTGGCTGTCGGAAATGAGACTAAAAAATCTGCTATTTTTCCATTAGTTTACAGCAACATTTGCAATTTAGCCTCTGCTTCTTTGGTTAGTTCCTCCATGCTTCGCGAGTCCCGTCGGAGGTGCCACTGTGTCGGAAATGAGACTAAAGAATCTGCTATGTTCCGAAACTTCGCGTTTTATTTATGAAATCAACTTGATATCTCTCTCCCTCCCTCCCTCCCTCTCTCACGCTCCGGTCTCTCTCATTTTTAAATATAGAATATGATCCTATTGTTCAATCATCTGTCACTTATCGCAAAAAATCAACCGGAAATCAATTAACGCTGAATAATCTCTCACATGGCAAAATTCTTGAATTAAACTCGATCTACATCGTAAAAGAGGTTATCGTTCATCGTGATGGTAAGTAATAACAAACTGTGTAATCGTTTGTCTCACGATGTAGTCAGTTCAGATGTAGATCGCGACGTTTCGACAGCTTGCTGCTAGTCTTCATCAGGCGATGGGGTCGACTGCTCACTCGTTACCATTTGTATCAAGGCTATCTAATGCGATTGCATCGACCCCATCGCTTGATGAAGACAAGCAGCAAGCAGTCTAAACGTCGCGATCTGCATCCCAAGTGACTATATCGTGAGACAAACGATTAAACAATTTATCATAAACTTAATCTAGTCATATGTTTACTCTTATATCCGTGCGTTTTTGGGCTTCGATAATATTTCAAATGATAAATTGATTTTTTTCTAAGGAAATTACTCAATACGTATGTTATTATCCTAAGACATAATTATCAACCGAACCCGATTTTTCGCAAAAAATGCTATCGATGACATTGATAAACATAAAAGGACATCATACTGGTTCGATATTCATCACCGATAAATGATGTTATCCTCACGACAACTACCTTTTTACTTTCAGGAGATAAATTGTGTACATGTAACTTATTCTACAATTCGATTGCCACCTATTATGTGGGTAGAGCCTCATGAGAACGAAGTGGCAGCAGATAAACAAGTGAAGCACAATACAGCGTGAACGGGGGAAAAAAATTGCACTAGGTGCTGTCGGTGAACATTGTACACAGGAAGCTAAGAATGAGACTACCGTTAAATTGACTTGACATGAGCTAAAAATTACCTCAGCGATTTTTTCACAAATGGTGAATACTGCAATCTTGTGTGATCCAAAACGTATTGTTATCTTTAGTTTCTAATCGTGTCGTGTTTGTGAGTGATCTGTCACTTATCAGGACTATACCAGGACTTCGATTTTAATCGTTGCGCAACCACATGAACCGATTTTAGTCGAATGATTTCGACAAACTCGGTAAAATTTAATCGATCGTTCGACTGTATGAGCCATTTTCTTCACCCTTAGTGACTTCTTTTTATGGTTAATTCAGCCTGTGTGTGGGCTGAAATAAAGATGGTCGGGAAGGTAAAATGCTTGCTAGCGCAGCGTAGATTCGCTTGAGGTCGTAACAATGTGTTTACATTCAGCTAGAGAAAAAATAAAAACAGACGGTCGGGAAGGTTTAATGCTTCGACTAGCGCAGCGTGAGATTCTAAAATTGAGGTCGTAACGATGTGTCTATTACAAGTTGTAATAGACAAAAAGAACGTATTCAAACTGAAACTCAACTCAATATGGAATAATCTACAAACTCTTATCTGCAAAGGTTGACTTGTGAGCTCCCACTCGGAGGCCCACTTGCAATTGGTTTGCGGTCATGGAAGCATAACGATTTCACCTGGTTATATTATCAGCTCCCTGCAACATGCGTTAATTTAGGTCAGTCAGGCTTCAATGTCTCAGCAGTCATCAGAATAGAAAAAAATTGGTTGAGATAAAGGTTTGTCCATTTGCGGCCTAAGATGAAATCTCGTATTCAAGCGGATTTCGTCGTCAAATGACGCAGACAATTTCAAAGAGGGGTATTCGGTGAGCTCACACTTGCAGTTTCCAAACACTAACCTTTGCTCTGCGCTATCAATAGTTTCCGTCACATCTTAACGCTTCTATGGAGATTATATTTCTACTGAACACATTCATCACAGAGTAGTAGCTCCACTTGCCGCAGGTTTTGGGTGAAATTTTGCTTCTGATTGTTTTCGCGTGTCGGACTGCGTGACATGGAAAGACTAGAACTACAGTAACCATGGATACCTTTGACGTAAATGACGCAGACTACAGAACAGGCGTCGTTGTTGCATTTTCAAGTATTTTTTAGGGCCTGTTTACATGGAGATGGGGGACCCCAGGTGGGGTGAGGTAACCCGCCTAGCCGTGGTCGAAAAATAAAACACGTTTACATACAATCTTACAACCCCGGGGTGCTGGGGTGAGGTTTCTTGAGGTTTTTGTTGCGCTTGCAATTAAGGAGTTTGAGCAGAGGCGTCCCAAGCTCACATCTCGAGAAAGACGAAAGATTAATTCTCGGACACACATGTATTTATTCATGAAAGCGTCACACGTTGTTTTACGCGGTGTTAGGTTACGCGAGGAACCGTTGACTCCATACGTTATACGGAATAGTTTGGGAAACGAAATATGGCCGATTTACAACGCTAAATATTCCGAAATGCGAACATTTTACACTCCTTGTGTGTCCGTTGCGGTTTCTGGCAGGCCCTTAATAAAAAAATAAAATAAAATAAAAAATAAAAAAAAACTATGTCAGTGAGTGAAATGGTATGTTGCTCTCACCAATCACCGCATTTGGGTTTGTATCTCGCACCAATCAGATTGCCGCACAAGGGTTTATATCTCACACCAATGATATCACAGCATTCGGATGTCTTGCACCAATCACAGCGTTTAGTCATTCACACCAATCACAGCGTTTTCTCGTACCAATCATATCACAGCTTTCTTGCAAATGATGTCATGTGAAATCAGGTGGCTGTGCACAAAGAATGGCAAAAACAATAACTTTTGGGCTAATTTTGACAAGTGTAATGGTTTGTAGCCTTCGCGAGGGCCTCGTTGATTAAGGTCGAGATTTATCGGGATATGAAAGGTTCGAATTTAACCTTTTTGTATCATTACCCAGGCAGTGAGGCCTGGGTTTAAATTTCGGCTTTCTTTTTCTTTTTTTTTTTTCCTCGTTCAGCCTGAAATCGCCGTTCGGGCTCTAAAGCGCATGCGTCGGACCTGCGTATGCGTAGAGTAGGGCAATTCAGCACATGGTAAGTATTTCTACGAGTTGTAGTTGTAGAAAGCTAGTACGGATTACATGATTTCTAGGGTTAGCATATGATTCTTACGACTCAATACAGAATGTATAAAGGGGTAAGTTTCTAAAGAAACTGTGGTACTGCGTCGGTGGGAGAGTATAGAAGGTAATTAAGTGTTAACAACTGAGTTGAAAACGTAAATTAGCCACCGTAAAGGGTAAAAAAGCTGACGTTTCGAGCGTTAGCCCTTCGTCAGAGCGATCAGACGAACACTCAAAACATCAGCTTTTTTACCCTCTACGGTGGCTAATTTACGTTTTTAACTCAGTTGTTAACACTAAATTACCTTTAACACAGAATGTATGTTGGCGATTGATTCATATCATAACAATTGTTAAATACTGGTACGAACTTTAGTTCTCTGTTTTGGGAGGACAACTAGCTTTGCACAAGCCTTGTGGTTTCATGAAGGTTTCCTCGCCAAACGCACTGTTGTACATAGCTTAACTTATCATCTTCCTTGTATAACTATTATCCTAGTGTGGCACTCCAAATTCAGTTGTGGTATTCAAACGTGTGCGGTACTCAGGCAGAAGGTTCTAACTGCATTAAGCCTCATGTGAATGAAAACAAGCTGACAACAATCGATTATCCACCGCTGCACGCCTGCGGATTATGATTTCTTAACTGTATACGAGTAGGCTTATCCTTGATCTAATTACGTCGGCAGGAGAACGCAACACGTTTGAAGTCCGGTCGATACTGATTTGAAACAGCTGCATTTCAAAGTGTTGTGCTGTTTGCTCTTAACGATAAACCCTCTGCTGAGTTTTTATCCGATGATAATTGCAGTTGAAAAGTGATCCGTTCCGAAATATAATGCTGCATCATAAATTGTGTAAACGTGTAAAACGTGTAAATTGTTAGCTGCAAAAGGATTCTTCGAGGACATGCCCGATCTTGAGAACACGTGCGAATCGGTTTTTCCGCTTTCAGCAAAAGCCCATCGAACTGTTTTTCTAGGAGTTATTTTAAGTTCCTGTTTATTTCCCTCACAAAACAGGAAAATTGAAAGCGAAAAAAGCAAAGGGAATTAAAAGGCTACGTGCATTATTTAAACTTTATGTGCTCCTATTTACCTTGTCAATGGAGTTCCTAGGCCGCTCACGCAGATCACAACACAACGACTCAGTTAAATTCTAGCGATTCTAGAAGTAACATTCCTTCAATTCTTCTTTGCTCATGGACTTCAATGCTTTTACCAAAATAAAAAAGGAAAACTTAATTGTTGCGATCAACAAAAAGCCCGACGCGTTGTGCTAAAGCTGGAAAAACGATAATCAAAGTTATCCTGTGTCAGGTATGTGTGTGCGAGGCGCATTTAGCTAGTTTCTTGCTTTTCATTTGAGTCTCTAATAAAACAGAAATTTTCCAATTGAAGGTTACAAAAGGCTTTATCAAAGCATTAGTAGTATCATAATGCAACTTATAGACAGGAAAGAAACCAGTATACGTCATCCTGCTTAAATTTAGCTCCAATGGCCATGATTTCGTTGAAGACATTTGAAAGTGACTACAAAGATTTCGTTGTTACGATATACGCATCTTGATTTGACTACACCAAATGAAAAACCAAAGAAAGCAAAGTTAAAGTGTTCTGAGGCAATATTCTAGCCTAATTTTTCGGAAGAACAAGTTCAATAAATGTGCAAAGCAGTCAGCTTTCCTGTTTGAGCTGAGGTGACAGTCCTCTGCTCTGAGGATAAAAAATGAGACCATTTACTAATTTCAATAACTAATTTGTTATGACATCGATTCCATCGAATAGAATGAAAGATGACTGTACGATTAGCGGACAAACCACTTGCTATGATCTGCTGCTGGCCTTTCAGTCTAAACCATCTGGCTCACTCCGAATTCAATCATGCAAAAGAGAGCGTGGCCTTATCCAACGTTTTCGCAAAAGAGCTGCAGCTAGCAATCAAGACGAGCAAATTTAACAGATGCAATACACTTGCTTGGTTTATTTGCCTGTATAACTGTGATTGGAAAAGGGTTTAGTGTTGAACTGATCTATTTTCAGATATTCAACCTATAACTTTCACTAATTTCCTTCATTTTATTTATGGCAACTGCGAACGTCTTATGCATGAAACAAAGATTATGAATCTTACTTACCGGTTGGTATCATAAGAAGAACCATGGAAGCGACAGAGACGAAAAGGAACGGAATAGCCATGACTCATGGACGAGAGAGTTGTAGTAGACCTCTATGGAGGAAACCTGGGTGTGATTTTGCCGTTACTGCAAACAGCCAATTTAAAGGCAAGGCAAGGCAAGGCTGTGCTATTTATATGAACTCAGGCATTTCACGTGACTAGAGTGTACACGCTATCTGTGAGAATTATGCTCTGTGCGTGTCTTATATCGATATCAATGACCCAAGATGAGTTACATGACAGTGCTCTGAGTTGTTCTTCGTGACACGGAAAAAGTACGTGGGAACAGGAGCGTTTGTGGAAAGATGGAGAATATTACAACGGGTAGCATGCAAGTGACAGATTTGAAAAAAATTTGAGGCACACGTCTTTATATTTCGAACTATTAAATTATTTTGCCTCCAAAGCCCAAGAAGGGGTCTCAATAAATTCTTGCGGTAAGATACGAAATCGTAGGAGATGCAACAAGAAATCAAGCGTGAACAGGGCTGGTTATATATAGAGTGACGATCTTGCTACTTCAATTTACATCCCTCCGTCATCAACTGTTCAGGTTAAAACTAATTTAAGTTATAATTTGACGAGTTGTGAGAATAAGCCACCCTATTCAATGTGAGGACAAGACACGACCGATTTACGCCAACATAACTCCTAATTCAAGCCACCAAGCGAGTTCACAAATATGCACATTCTCGAAGTTTAAAATATCAATACCGTGCTGATCCGGAACTTCCGCTTACACCCAGCTCACTTTTTAAATTTTCCTTTAACCTCTCAACGTAAAACAGAACAACGAAAAGCTTAGACATTTAAAAGAAACAGCTATATTGGACTTATTATTCCTTGTTATGTGCACCGTCGATGGTGCAGGAGTTTTTCCGGCGAAATAAAGTTATGATTTCATACTTCACTGATCATCATCATGCCATCATTTTCATGAGGAGATTTGATGTGTCCATAGATAAAAATGCGTTCTACACTGCATTTCAAATTAAATTAATCTTAGAGCCTTTTTGTTATTGAACTTTAAATGTGATTAAAATGAAAGCTGTTTAGCAATACAGACAGTGAACCCATCGCTAACTGCGAACTGACCTCTCTTGTATCATAGTTAAGCTGGCAATCTTTTATTTATTCAATTATAATGAGTGGCGTTCAAAGATATTCTCGAGATGTTGTTTGGTATCAAACTTCATGGAAAGGCCAAAGGGCGCAGTGTTTGGTTATGAATGACTCCAGTAAAGTAAGGCCCCTCTTGTGACTTGGTGTTGCAATCTGAAGAGTTCTTAGTCGTATAAAACAACCTTAAGGGCCATTAAAAGAGAGACTGTGGTCGTTGGCTGCTATACATGGCCTGACCATAAGAACACGTACGAATCAATTTTTCCGCTCTAAGAAAGAGCCATACCACTGAGCTAGGAATCTCTTTTAGTTCCTTTTGATTTCCTTTATCAAACAGGAAGAATTTAAAGAGAGAAAAACGGGGGGGGGGGGGGGAAGTAGGGAGTGATAACGTTTTCAAGGGGAGCTGGGAGGAAAGTCAGCGCT